GGTTAGTACGTAGTACGTAGTCGTACGTACGTCGTCGTACGTACGTCGTCCGTCGTTCGTTCGTAGACGAGAGAGAGAGAGAGAGAGTAGAAGAAGAAGGAAGGAGGAGAGAGAGAGAGAGAGAGGGGTTGATAAGCGACAACGCTTTGTGATTCCAAGGGCGACTAAGTTGCCTGCAACGCAGTTGGCAAAATCCGTTAAAAACACGTTTTTTGGAACTACTGTGATTTGCCTAAAAACGATACAAAAAGATGCAATTTCTAAAAATAACTTTGAAAAATATGATTATGTAGAAAATAGAATACAATTGGGGTGTGGGATCCGGTTTCCATTCGGCCCCACATATATGTGTAGCAACGCGGGCCTCTTAATAAATCTGTTTTTTAGATGGATTTTAAGACTTAATTTTTAAGGATATGTAATCTCTAATATGGATATCATGAATATGAAAATAGAAATAAATTTTAAAAAATAAAAATAATAATTCTAGTAAGAAAATATTGGATTGTTAGTTTCCATTGTTTTTAGATAAACACCTACTTAGCATCCATCTTTAAGATGGATGCTTTACGGTTTAAAGACCGCATATGTAGAAATGTGGTCCATCCCGCATGAAACATTTCGGTATGTATAAGGCTGAGGTCCTAACACTCAAAGTGATACGCACCTTCAAATGGTATCCAAAGATGTTTAGTATCGAAAATCTTTAGAATGGCTTCAAAAGTAGTATAGATCAAGCAGATCTACGAACACTTGAAAATATTGAAATTGACGGACCAAATAATGCATGACAAGATGCACTATTTCCAAAACTTGAAGTCTTTTTTTTCGTTTTGTACATCCATGTGTTTCAATGTCGAGATGATTAGATTTAAGGACTTTTTTATATCGAAACAACTTCTTCTAGTGAATTTTTAAGATGCACCTTAGTTTGATTGTTTAGGGCCTCAATGTTAGTCATTTTTCATTGTCATTTAACAAGAAGTTTTGAAAGATAAAAGTTCAAATTTTAATTGTGTTTATTTTTTTGATATATTTTTTAAAAGGAAAGTCTTGGTCATATCACGTGGATGGTGGAAAAGTGCACAAAAAGCCTTCCAATGGTTAAGATTAAAACATAGCCAGATCTAACAACTATAAAAGAATTTTTATTTTTATTTTATTTAAAAATAATATTTATTTAAAATTTAAGTTATACATATATTTTTATATATCATACGGAATAAAAACAATAAAAAAAATTAAACATAAAAGCTTACTTAAATTATTTCAAGGGTCTTTTATTAGTTATTTCAATTATGTTTAAATTATTTTTTTATTAATATTTTTTTAGTGTTCCAAATAAATATACATTCATACCCTAAATTTTAGATAAAATTTTTTTAAAATAAAATTAAACTCATTTTAGACCATTAGATGATATTAGGTTCAATCTAAAAGCATGTGGATGCTATAACATCCCTTTGGAAGATTAGTCTTAGCCCGCTGCCAGCGTATGTGGTATTTTTCATTGATTGATAACCTACACATCGAACCAAAATTTCCTTTATCCTTTTTAAAGTTAATGTCACATACTTTTTTTTTCTCTTTGACCAATGTTATCAAATATTATTATAGAAGGAACTACCAAAACGGGATTACATCATGAGAAATAAAAATAAAAGATAAAGAAGCACCCCTTTTAGCCAAATAATCTGCTAACAAATTGGCTTCCCTAAAAACATGTTGAAACTGAACCGGAGGACCTCTTGCCAAGTCAATGACCTACAACCAAACTGATTTTAACTCCCAGGCACCCTTTGCTCTAAGTTGCACTGTCTAATCACGTATCTCCAAATTTTTATTGCAAAAGATCATACAACGAGTACCCAAATTTCTATTGCAAAAGATCCATACAACGAGTACCCAAATTTCTATTGCAAAAGATCCATAAACCATGAAAAAGTGCTAATAGTTCAACACAATTTGCAATGGCTATAGCAATGGATCCTACGTATGTGAACAAAATATTACCATTCCAATAATGAATAGCTCCTCCAATATCTGCCACACCTGGATTTCTCAAAGAACTCCTATCAAAATTAAGTTTAAATGACCCCTATGAAGGTGGAACCCATATTCTCTCCTTGGTCGAGTCTTAACAACTCCCATAAACATCAAATGTTGAATATTGCTCATGACATCAACTTCGGATATTCCCCATCCTTCTTTTGTGGCAACCAACCAACACCACACCAGATGTTTAATTTTATTGAGAACCATCTCCAAAAGTAGGCTATCACCTTCAAAAGTTCTTCTCTTACGCTCCTTCCAAATTTCCTATGTTATCACCCCCCTTGTGATCTTCAATAAATCATTTCCAATCTTAGGTAAGTTTGCTGATGACAAATATTTGATAATTCCTAGCATAGTTTTAGAAAAAGGCAAACTTATACCTAGCAGGGAAAAGAACTACCACCATATTCTGGTTGCAAAAGAGCAATGCAGAATCAAATGTCCTCTAGATTCAACATCCTTCTTGCACATTAAACATATATTTGGAAAATTATCTACTTGATCATCTTGATATCAAGATGTATGGATATAAAAAAAAAAAGATTTTAAGTCCTAAAAATAATACATTCTACAACATATTATTTGGACAGTCTATTTTAATATTTTTATGTATTTATATGTTTCTTTGATTGAGAACCAATTTTTAGTTTAAACTTTTATAATTAGAGGTAACAATAGATTATTGGGCCATCTTAAAAAAATTTGATACCAAAATTACTTCTTATGAAAAAGTTTGGAGAGGTGACGTACTTTGATTGCTTAAAGTCGTAACAGCAAACCTCAACCTTTAATGAATGGGGAAGAAATAAAATGCCACAGATGTAACAAGACCCCAATGTCTTGGAAGTCCGTAGACTCAATGTGGTATGATCCAATGATCATGATTATATTTCGTATTTGAATTTTAGTATTTTTTTTATAAATTCAAATCGCTTGAAATTTTGGGTGTATATTCTTTAAAAATTGGAGAATCTATCAAAAATATCAAAAAACAATTTGTAAAAAGTAAATTAACCACAATACCTTCAAAATATTTTAGGGGTAATTTTATCAATTTATATTTTACAAATTATGCTTTTAATATTTTTAGAAGGTTCGAATTGATGATAAGAATGGATGCCTAAAGTTCAATTTAATTTGTATCTGTAGAAAAAAGTTTAAAATTGGAATACGAAATGAGGTCGTGCTCAACAGATCGACCCTGATTCAATCTGAGCCATTGGGCTCATATGTAGCTGTGAGCTAGTGGGCTCACACCAGCCTTTCCCTATATTGAAAATGCTAGGGTCAGCCCACCAGTTGATGGAATAATATAAGCCCAAGGGCCTAGATGAAATCTAGGCCTATCTGACGGTCAAGACTGTATTTCGGTAATATTAATGAAAATCAAGCAATCCGGTTCACTAAATCACACCAATTACCATCCAATTTTTGAACTTTGTACCATATTTCATTTGGTGAATCATGGGCTTATAATATATTGTCCCTTGCAATAAAGAAAAGTATACTAGGAGCCATTTATATTACTTACAAGAAAGTCATAGTCAATTTTGATTGTTGGATGTGGAATTGGTTAGCTAGGGGTGTCACACTAGTCGAGTTCAAAATTTCCAATAAAATTTTTTGAACTCAATGACACAACCCATCTATCAAATTTAACAAGTGGTAACTATAAATTAGGGACTTCCCTGTACCAATGGTATTTTAGCGTACCAAGATACAATTATCCTTACTCATTGGCAATGATCCATATATGCAACAAGCTGTCTTTAAAATTCAAACCTCTATCATCCTTCTTTGAATATATTAATAGTATGATTAATTACAAATCACATCTAAACCTGAATAAGGTATGCTTAATAAAGTATTTTTAATTTTTCGACTTGCTAATCATTGATTGCTACTCACAAGCTTTAGTAGTAGTTGAGATTTCGTATTCTTTTTATAACATGTTTCAATAATCATGGATTTCATCATTATTCAGCTTCAAATGGTGATATATTGAAAAGTTTCCATTTTTGCACTCCCATTTCCTAGATACAATTATCCTTACTTTTTTCTAGAAGAGGATCCATGAAAGGGTGAGGATGCTTTGGAAATTGTCCAATTGAAAGAGGGGGATTTTGTCACCTTTTTCCATGTCCAAAAGCTCTCAATTATTGAGTATGTTAACAATTTTGCACGCATACCCATGCTTGTTCTTGTCACCTTATGTCATCAATATTCAACATTGAAATGTGACATTTTATGCACTCAAGAGCTTACTAATTATAGCTTGTTTGTGGGCCGGTTCTAGTTTCAAATCACATTTGTCATTAGACATCTAAGTTTTAATTAAGGGTGTAATGCTCATACTTCAAATGATAAATGGGTTGCTACTTTTGGAGCGATCTACTTATCTGTTGTTGTCTTATTGTAGCAAAGGAAAAGTATTTGATAAGTCTGCTTCTTTCAAAATTTATTTTAACATGGATTTTAGATTTTGTTAATCTTAATTATGAGGATGATCGTCAGTTTAGATTTTCTTTTTTTCTAAAAATAAAAATTGGTGTTTTTATAAAGATTTCTCACCCATCTATTTTGGCTTTTTAGTGGAGGTACCATTTTGTCACATCTATTGTAAAGAGGGGGTTTGATGATTAAGGGGATACACAACAATAGGGGAGTTAGTTGACTCACCATAGCCTCATCCTTATACAAATATTTTATATTGATGAACTAACGTATATATATTGTAAGTCCTTTCGGCAAAACACATTCTTTTGGA